CTCCATCGACTACACGTCCCGTACATTCACCCTCTTCGAGCTCGACCTCAGCCTCTCCGACCACCCCTGTCCCCTGCCCGTCACCAAGACCAGCTTCAACTCTGATCTCTTCAACACCAGTCTCTTCGGTTACACAGAAAGCGATTACGTATTGACCGTCTACTACAACTGCTCGCCGGCCTTGGTACCCTTGTTCAACAAACTTCATCAGATACCGAGCACCCCGTGTTTCGCCGATGAGGACAATGGCTACCAGTCGTTTTATAGGTTTCAGGATGAGCCATCGCCGCCGAGCATGGACGTCCAGGCACACTGCACCTCGACGGTTCTTGTTCCTGTAGACAAGTCTGCGGCGAATAATTATTTGAGGAAGGGGCAGAATGACATCTGGGGGGCGATGAAGCAGGGGTTCGGGGTGTTCTGGAAAGCTGGTGAAGGGTGGTGTGATAAGTGCACCAAGTCTGAAGGGGTCTGCGGGAACGATCCGAAGACGGAGGACGGAATGTCTTGTTTCTGTTCGAATTCGTCGAGATCTAATGGCACCTCATGTGTCCCGCTCTTCAGTATGTTCCCTGATTCTCTCTGTTTCTTGATTTCTTGATTTCTTGATGGTTTTATTTGGATCTACTAGGTACATGTATAGGTTGTGAGGAATTGGACGTAGGTTAGATAACTAGCTTTTGGGTGATTCTTGTTTTTAGAGTTTTTAAGAGTTTGGGGGTTTATCTTGAAGCCCAACATGGTCACATTGATTTGGTAAATTCAACCAAATTAGCTTAGAACCGACGAAGTACCTTAGTAGTAGCAAATCATCGCTCACTGGATTAATACTTTTTTCCTAACATCTCCGATGGTGGTGGTTTTGTACATGAATGCGCATTTTCAATCATAGTAATATTTACTACTGATTTGTTTGGAAGTCGAAGTCTAGTTCGTCTCTAGGAAGAAGAAAATTTTCACTCGTTCCATTGGTCTGCTTCCTTAAATATAAATTTCTAGCGTTGCTTGTTATATTTTCAACAACAAACACAGACCTACACTAGAGGCTACGATCTTAGGGAAGAAAAATATGCATCAAATCTAGAATCTGAAGTGGATTAAGCACCGGGCACTAGATTCTTGATTAACATCTTAACCACAATTCAATTATTTTAGGCTAAATTAGTTACCTTGTCAGATAGTTCTGTTTAAGTTCTTGTGGTCACTTTCAGTGTTTGGAAATTATAACTATTTTCTTTAAACATATGGGGGTTAATTTATTTCTGTAGGTGGGTTATTTTTAACACATTTCTAGTTTTTGTATTTGGCAAATTAAGAAGGTTAACCTTATTTACCGTGTTTAAGTCTCCTCAAATTGTCGCCAAACATGACCCATATTTTGGCCCGAATTGTCGACCGAGCGGTCGACCTATCATCGACTGTTTGGTCAATAGATAGTGCTCGTGGCCAATCGACTATTTGGTCGACTGCAAGACTTCTCTATTTTTTGTTTGCTCCTTTTCTTCTTTTTGTCTTCTTGTTTAAAATACAAGACTAAACCCATAAAACTCTACCTTAAGCTTGTATGAAGCCACTTTCGGAAACTGACATTTCCTTTTTTGCAAATTTTACACTATAAACTGAATTGTGTAGAGATATAGCACTAGACATCCTTCACCTCATGCCTCCTCCCAAAAGAATCAATGGAATTGCTATTGCTCTCTAATTGATGTCAAGCGCTTTTTGTCTTGATATTAACCCCATGCCACTTGCTGCGAACTCTAACCTCGATTCTAGATTTGTTGCAAGCTTCATCATGACTCCACCTAGAGCCGAACTCCCATGTAGGCTTCCCATAAAAATTTAATTTTTGCGCATAAGGGAGGGGACTTTCTATCTTGTGACTGAGAACCACCCCTCACCCCCCCCCCCCTGAAGGCAAAGCTATACTTCAAAGTACGGTATGTTCTTATTCGACAACGCTGTAACCAACAGCCATCTTCGTGTTTCTTTCATACTAGGATGAGTTTTCTTCCACGGCCTATGATGATGACTCCCCTGTACACTTGGGTTTGATACCCTTTTGAATAAAAAACTACTAATAATAGTACATTATATTTTGCTTTAGGAATCAACCGAACATTGTCCAAAGTAAGCTTATTCCGATCTTTTACCTCCCCGTTACAATTCTTCTACCTACAACTTGCACTTTGTACAATTTAAAATGTCAATAGTCTCGTTGGTTCCTTTCACCAGGTAATTAAATAGGCTCTCCTCAAAACATATATAAGCTGATGAGCCAGAATCCAATATACCCAACTACCATAAGAAATCTTGGCACTTGAAACCACCAACACCTAATACATGTGTTGATCGAGCTGCAGTGTCTTCATTTAGCGTCTAACTCCCCAAGCGCTCTTACTTTTGCAAGCAACTTTTTTTTTTGAAGTGACTCTTTTCTTGACAAAAATGACACTTAACCGCACTTGGAACCCTCCTCCGCTTCCATCATCTCTACCCCTCCGGCATCTGACTCGTCCCTAACATCCGGTCGATGCCGAAGCTCCTAAGCTAGAAGTGTTGCTTTTA